AATGTATGTTATGTTAATTGCTTTGAAAATGATGTTAAATTATTGTTTTTGTGTGGATTATTCAAAAATTCGTGCTACAAGTAGATGTAATTACTAGTTATTTTTTATTAGGGAAGTACCTACTTTTATCACTCCTATAAATTAAGAAACGAACGGTTTCGTTTATAATTTCAAATCTGTTGTCAAAGCATTCCTTGAATAAGATTGTTGGGATAATACCAAAAGATAAATAAATAAACTACGAAAGACAGCGCTTATAACATCTAGTAACGTTTGGGAAACTGTCTGTGAAGCTTAGCTTCGTATTTCAACGACCAAAATAAATACCAAAAAAAACCTCAACTGATAAAAATGTCCTTGTAGCAAAACAACTAGTTAACGACAATAATATAACAAAACTAAATGTTGATTCACAAACATATTGATAGACAACACAACTACGCCAATTATATCAAGACAATTAGACAAGAAACGTAATATGTCGTGAAAGTTTCAAACTATACTTTTTATGGAATGTTTTTTTTGATTGGATAATAATTGGACTTAGGATCACTTAGGTAGACTGTCATCTGGCATTTTCCGGAAAAAAAAATAAAATAAAAAAATAAATAAAGAAAAAGGTAGACTGTCATCTGATGAATTTGGACTCCCGTGGCCCGCGGGCACGTGTGATGAGACACTGGGGTGGTTAAGGTGGTTTTAGCCTGTAAGAGTCCGGCACACCCTTCCGCCTTTCCCCAGGCTGAGGCAGTCCATGAGGATTTCCCCCCATAAAAAAAGGTAGACTGTCATTTGACATGTGACATGTTTTGCTACAAATTCTATTCTATCAGTATCTAGGTTTACATTGCTGGTAAATAATGCAATTACTTACATGGATGTAGTTTCTGCGCCGCGATATACTTCTCCAGCTTTCGCCTAAGCACGATCTCAGCTCCGTACCGGCCAACTGATCCATTGTCAACCAGAAGAAAGTAGGCGTGCCTGTTGTTTAGAACTGCTAGTTTTGATCTGCAACAAAGAAAATAAATACTTGAGATATGTAGACAGAGACAAATTACCAAAAGCTGGCCCTTTCAGATACAGCACTTATATTGCGATTTCCTCTGCCTACCCCTTCGGGGAAGTCGCGGAGAACCTAACGGGTAACCGGAGCTCCGGCTCAACGTGCAGGAGAAGGAACGGGGTGGTTTTTAGTCAATAAGAGTCTCACACTCCCTCCCGCCTCACCCAGGCGGTAGCAGTCATTCGATGATTTTCCCCCCTTAAAAAAAACCCCTTCGGGGATAAAAGGTTTGATGTTATGTAGTAATTCTAGTTTAATAAACAAACTCTCATTTCTTATATTTTATTTTATACTAAAAAGTTTATTGAACTATTCAAACTTCCTTTACAAAGCCCACATGTCGTAATGAAGGAAACTCATGACACAACATATTCTGCCTCAGTAAATGTTCAGAATAGTTCCACAACGACCTCATACTTCGAAAACTTTCAAGATTAGCCCAAACATATCGGCAGGCAAGTTTTAGATCCAAAGCCACAAACGAAGTTTATCTTAATATTCGAGTAATTAGAGGCATCCCTAATTGAAGGTCCTCACTAAGTTGTCGTTTGAACTATAGAAATAGCTATTATAGTAGTTCTTAGGAAAGTAATTTAAATATACATTCATTTTAGTTTCTGAAAAGAGCAGAATTTGATGTTACCTACAATGAGAGATCTGTTATTTTAACTCATTTGGCTTTTATCTCGCTTAGTGGAAACTGGAAAGTGGCCATGCGGCCAACCATGGATCACACCTTCCGTGAGCAACTAAGTCACTCGGGGCTTAAAAACACTCACTCACCCTTCAGAGACATAACATAACATCACGTCTTTTATCCTTGAAGGGGTAGGCAGAGGTGCACATTATACCGCTGTACAATGTAACACCCACTTTTCACTATTTATGTTATGAGTCCCATGTAGTAGGGGGTGAGCCTATTGCCATATACCGGGCACAGTTCCAGACTCCGTGCTACTACTGAGAATTTTTAAAAACCCAGTAATACTTTGCCCGACCCGGGAATTGAACCCGAGACCCCTTACCCGGAGTCGCAATTGCGACAACTCGGCCAACGAGGCAGTCTGTCAGTCTGGCAGTCAACGACCCTTCAGAGAATATTATTTGAGGTATATGTCTTTGTTTACACGACGAGCCTACTAACACACAATAAGAAAAAATAAACATGTAGTTTGTGTTTATTTTCGTTACTCGACAGTCCTGAAACCAAACTTGACAATTTGATTGCCCTTTTTCAAAAATATCTCTTGCGTTCAATCGACACAATATATGAAAGTCTAATCACAATGGATGGTTACATACGGTGTTTGTTAAATCCTAATTAATTACAATTAACGGCCCCGGGCTGTAATATAATATATTTCATTACGATCCCAAACATGATACGCACGTGACTTGTTAAGTTTGGTCGATTCTCCAGCCAAGGGTGTAATTGGGATTTCTGATTTCCAAGAGTTCAGATAACAGGAAAAGAATTTTATTCAGTGTATCTGTATAGTGACAGATTTAAGTTTGTCTTTTTTTTTAAACTGTCAAACACCAAGCGGTCACCGGTGACCGCAACCTTTTGTTCTATAATTGTGTCTATAATGACGGTACTAGACGAGTTAATGGGGGAAAATCATCGAATGAAATGACTGCTCCCGCCTGGGTGAGGCGGGGGGGAGTGTCAGACTCTTACTGACTAAAAACCACCCCGTTCCTTCTCCTGCACGTCGAGCCGGAACCTCGGTTACCCGTTAGGTTCTCCGCGACTCCGAATCGGCATCGGCCCTATTGGGCCCCATCTGTGGTGGTCTGATGGCTCTTTGAGGCGCGCGTGGAACGCGACGCGCCGTACGCTCGGGGATTTAATTATGTCTAGAGTTTATAATTTCCTTTTTTTTTAAAAAGAACGTTGCTCCACACTATTATTTTCTAGTATGTCGTGGGTGCGTTTACAAACATACAAGTTCACATACACATGACACCCAACCCGAAACAACAATCTGTGGATCACACAATGAGTTGTTCCGTGCGGGAATCGAACGCGACACGTTGCGCGGCAGTCAGTTGCCCAACCACCGCGCCAACCGTGCAGTCGTTATTGAATTTTTTGTTATTACTACTAGAATTAATGAAAATTAAAACTTATAGGGTATTCATGAAACATTATAGTTGATATAGGAAAGTTAGAGAATAGTTATAGAGACTAGGAGGAATAAAAATGCAAAATAAAAGCTTAGATGAAGTCCAACAAATCTCAAATAGCTTCTAAACAAACGAGTTGACACAATATACTAGAAATGAAAACCAATAAAAAACGTTACAGCCGATATTGAGATATTATTCAAGCGGATATACATTGAACTATTTTATTGAACTGTCGATAAAAGCCTACCAATACAAGAAAAATATTGGAACATTTATAAAAACATGTCGGAAAACGCCCACAGTGAACCAATCAGCTAAACGAATTGCCATCTGTTACACAAACACGCTGTAGATTTTTACAAACAGCTAAGCGGAAGCTGTATAGTTGGAACGTTCTAGATTAATTGCACTTTTATCCATATTGTTAATATTGCGGTCATATTTTTACAACGATTTAAAAATACCTCTTTATTCATGAAAAAAATATTAGTATCCATATTTAGTTTATGAAATGTAATTTGTTCAAGAGGAATTCTGATTGGTTTGAGTTTTAGAAATGATTTATTGTCCTTATTTTTTAAAGATTCGTAGACAAATAAATACCTTCTCGAGCATGTCACTAATATATCATTAAGTAAACACCTATATCTGTTCCCAAAATGTCTGCCTTGTTCAGTTTGAGAAATGAAGATTTAAACGATTTGACTGCCCGGTTGGCGCGGTGGCTGGGCTGCGCAATGTGTCGCGGGTTCGATTCCCGCACGGAACAACTCTTTGTGTGATCCACCAATTGTTGTTCCGGGTTTGGGTGTCATGTGTATGTGAACTTGTATGTTTGTAAACGCACCCACGACACAGGAGAAAATCCTAGTGTGTGGCAACGCTTTAAAAAAAAACAATATAAAAAGAATTATTTCTTAACTTATTTATCTACATCTCTATATTCCTCTATTCCAATGAACTTGAAAAAACGCGAATTCCGTTGCTAACAAAAGTGTGTTTGAATGCGGGCGAGCAATCTCTGGCTGAATGACACGTTCGCCTCGTCCACCGTGACAGCGTGACACACTTTACTGCTCCCGTGACATTTGCGACGTGTTACAACTTGTCACAGAGCTCAATATTATCTGACAGAATTTTTATGATACGATTTTTTTATTACCTATACTGTACTTTTATATTATAGGTACTACAGTTGGTTACTGGTAGTTCGTTAGTCTTGTAGGATTTTAGTTATCTGATCCTATCATCAGATTAACAAATATTGACAGCCTCGTTTGTTAAATGCAAGTGCAATTTTGTCAACCAACGGTCTCAGATTGTATTTCAGGGTCGGTTGTATTTGTACTCATTTTAATAAGCTCACTTCCTAAAAAATGGGTTTTATAAATTAATTAAAAAACAAATAATACTTGTTTGAACTGGAAGTTGAATCCGTGTGTGCTGATCAAATAGGACTGTGAATCTAATAAACTTTACAGTCCCGTTTATATCACTGAACCAACAAAGCAGTAAGGTGTATAACAAATAACATCGTGCCAAACACAAACACATTGTATTCGACAATAATATCAAAAACTAAATATGCAATTGGTATTTAGCTTGAAACCATGTTCATTAGCCTAGTCATGTCGCCACACATGCCCTCTGGTGGCAGAACACGAACTAAACAATACAAGCATAATGTTATGTAAATGTGTTCATTGTCATACAATCTGTTTGATTTGTGAGGTAACTATAAATTAATTTATTTAAATTAATATCGGCTGTGTGGATAATGCTATCATGGATATTGCTGTCATTGGGTTTACAACAACAGCCTATAAATGCCCACTGCTGAGCATAGCCTCTTTTCACATGGAGAAGGTTTCAGCATTAATCACCACGCTTGCTCAAATCGGGTTGGCGATTACAAACTTATAATTAGAAATTATAAGCCCAGGTTTCCTCACGATGTTTTCCTTCACCGTTTGTCAGTGGTGTCTAAATAATCTTAGAAAGTATATATAACTCGGAAAAAGTTACATTGGTACTTGCCGTTGGTAAACTCGAACTCAAACTCAAAAGCATTTATTTCAATCAAACCATAATTTGGTACTTTTGAAACGTCAACAGGTAGGTAGGTTTCGAAAGTCTTCTCATGAATTCTCATGTATGAGAAGCGGCATCTTTAACCTCCGGGCCACCACGACCTATGTCATTAGGTTTATTATAGTAATTTTGTTTTAAGACTTACTTATATGTGTATTTGACGAAGTAACTTGATTGGTTACAAGCTACTAGGGGCTCATATTCATTCCGCGATAAACGATGTAATAACTTCTATCTTATTTTAATATTAACAAAGCTATCAACGGTGTCAACAAGGATCAGCTACTTGACACAATCTAAGAGGACAGGCTCAAAATATTATGTAACTAGGAAAGTCAAGTTTGACCTAATTTTGCCATCCCAACTTTGCTGACTTTGCTCACGCGATTCTGTAAGGATTAAGTTAAATCGAACCTTGTACTTAGCCTTCTTATCTTTAATTCGCTTTAAAGATAGACACTGGGATCGGTTTGAGAAAATTGCCTAAGGATTATATAAAGAATAGACAAGTTTGCATAACATAACATCACGTCTTTAATCCCCGAAGGTGTAGGCAGAGGTGCATATTATGCCACTGTACAATGTTATGAGTCCCATGTAATAGGGGGTGAGCCTATTGGCTAATTGTGCCCGGTATAGGGGCACAATTAATTCCAGACTCCGTACTACTACTGAGATTTTTTTTATAAACCTTGTAATACTTTGTCCGACCCGGGATTCG